TGAATTATTATTTTCATATCTTACATCATCTGTCTTCATTCATCCATGTTTCTGTTGTTAGTCACAGGGGGGCGGGACAGGGTTGTTATACATACAGAGATCATTGCGATCGTTTCCCCCTTTCTCTCCCCACCTTCCTTCTACCCACATCGTACTGCTACTCCTGTTATTGTCCCTGACAGATTGATCTGCCTTGGATTCCATGTGTCAAGAGCTCTTATCTGTACCACTGTATATCTGGTGTAGCCGGATTTGTAAGGTAGAACTGGGGTCATGATAGTGGGGGGAGAGAATTAAAGAACTAGAAGAATATTGTATGTTTCATAGGTGCTATACCCTGGCTCATCTCAATAGTGTTTTATAGCTTTCTTTGTACTTTTTTTTAATATCCCTAGTTATTTTATTACTTTGGGGGCAATTGTGAATAGTTTTATCTTCCTGATTTTCTTTTGAGAGTTCTCTTTATACGTGTAGAGGAATCCTACAGATTTTGTTAGGATTTTGCTGAAGCCTTCTATTAGTTCCATTAACTTTCCTGTACAGTCTTGGGATTTTATATATGTGCGGGTTGGGTTGGGTTGGGTTTTCTAGAGAAGCAAAACTAATGACACTTATATATGTATCAGAAATAAATTTATATCAAGAGAGCCCACATAGCCACAGAGTGGACATGCACAATCCAGCTCACATCCAAGAGTCAGATGCTAAGCCAGAGCCTCTTTGCACCTCACAGAGCCTCTGGGACCAATTAACCAGGAAGCATGAAGATGACCCAGGAAGTGGGAGATCACAAGCCAATGGAGGCAGTCAGGTAAATACAAAGTCAGCAAGCAGTGTAGCAGCTGCCATCAGCTCCCAGAGCTAGCACACCACAATGACAGGCCACCAGTTCAACCCCTAACAAACCAGATGCAGGATCCCCAGGAAGAAGGTGAGAGAGCTCTTCACAGAGCCTACATGTATATATGTAGTATTCCACATCCCCAAGGAGACATCATTAGGCTGTGACCTGAGTAAGGGGTTGCAC